AAGCTTCAGCATCACCTCCTTCACAAGGTCAGATGAGGGTGAAAAGATGAGGATGTCATCCACGTACACCACCATGAAGCTCCTCTGCTCCCCCTCGCTAAGCATGAACAATGAGTGATCGGCCGTTGAGGGAGTGAAGCCGATCTCCTCCAAAACTCCTCGCAGCTTCAAGTACCACTGCCGAGGGGCCTGCTTCAGTCCATAAAGGGCCTTCTTCAGCCTCAAAACTCTGCCACTACCATCATCAAACCCCTCTGGCTGCGCCATGAAAATCTCTTCCTCAAGGACGCCATTGAGGAATGCCGTTGTGACATCCATTTGTTTCACCACCCATCCTTTGATGGCAGCTCCCGCGAGTAGGGTTCGCAGCGTCGTCGGCTTCACCACAGGAGCAAACAACTCCTTATAGTCCACCTTCTCTTTCTGCTGGTACCCCTTCGCCACAAGCCTAGACTTGTAGCGCTCGATCTTGCCGTCGGCGTCGGACTTGATCTTGAAGAGCCACTTGGACGTAATCGCCTTACGCCCCTCCGGTAGCTCCACCAATTCCCATGTGCCGTTCTCCTCAATGCTCTTCAGCTCACTCTCCATTGCCTTCTTCCACTCCTCAGCATCACTACTCTCCAAGGCCTCCTTGAGAGTTGCTGGTTCCCCCGGCATCTCCACCGGAGAGAAGAACGCGAAGGCACACTCCTCGTAGTCACTCTCCTCGTCTTCTCCAACTATAAGTGCCGCTCCGGCCAAGGCTGACTTGGCTGGCTTTCCCAGTGCCTCATAGGTCAGCCTATTTGGGGCTTGGATTCTCCTTTTGCCCCTTCCTTCTTCCTCAGCTGCAGGGACATGAAGGCCTTGGCGTTGCTGCGGGGTGACTCGGATCCGTGGAGCACTCGTAGTGCGAGAAGGAAGTGTCGGTGCACGCTCGCTCACTTGCTGAACCTCCTCCTCTTCTTCCTCTGCATCCTTGGCCTCCTCTCCCCCATTCACAAGGGAAGATTGCCTTGTGGTGGTGCTGCCGCTGCTCAGCTCCAAGGGCAGCTCCACATGCTCCAAACCGGAACTCTTCACGTCCCCCAACCGCACGCCTATCTTCGCCTCATTCTCCGCCTTCCAATCCTTGTACATCAGATTCTCCATGAATTTGCAGTCCCTGCTCACCAAGAATTTCTTGGTGAATGGGTCCCAAAGAAGCCACCCCTTGCTGTTTTGAGCCATGCCCAAGTGCACAGCCCATATCGCCTTGGCACCGAGCTTGTTGTGCCGAAGATGCTTAGGCACGAGCGCCATGCACATGCACCCGAACACCCGAAGCATATCCACCTTTGGCTTCCTTCCAATCCACTCCACATAGGGCACCCATTTGTCTGCTCCCACATGAGTCAAAGCTCTGTTCTTGGCCACACATGCACTCCGCACCGCATCAGGCCAGAAATATTCGGGTAGCCCGGCTTCAATGAGCAACCCGCGCGCCGTCTCCGTGATTGTCCGGTTCGCTCGCTCGGCGATGCCGTTCATTGCAGGGGAGTATGGCATGGTAAGGGAGTGCCTTATGCCATTCTTCTTCAGCCACAATCCAAACTCCTTGCTCAAGAACTCTCCCCCTCGATCGGTGCGGATTGCCTTCACTAGCCGGTCTTGTTGCCGCTCCACCATCGGCAACCAATCGGTCTTCACCGTTTCAGCCACGTCACTCTTCTTGGACAGCACGTACACCCAAGTCATGCGAGTGTAGACGTCCACAATGGTGAGAAAGTACTCAGCTCCAGCAGCTTCAAGCTTCAGGGGGCCCACCACGTCCATCACCACCTCATCAAGTGGTGCCTTAGCCGTTGCCTCCGAACTTGAGCCGTCACCGGTGAAGCATGTGACATCGGCTTTGGGGCAGCGAGCAGAGGTGAAAGGCATGGGCAAGGCCATGTTCAAGGGTGCTGATGGGAAGATGGTGGGCCTCAAGAACGTGCTTTGGGTGCCCAACCTTGCTGCCAACCTGATTTCCGTGCGGCGGTTGCAAAAGGCCGGCATGGACACGAGCTCGAAGGGAGCTAAGACCTACACCGCCGATGTTGTCTCTGTTGCTGCCGATGTTGTCTCTGTTGCTGCCGATGTTGTCTCTGCTGCTGCCGATGTTGTCTCTGCTGCTGCCGATGTTGTCTCTGCTGCTGCTGATTGAATTGTTGCTAATGCTCTCGTTCTTTCTGTTTCAGGTATGGTGTGTGAACACCAGAACCCGCCCGGACTGAAGTCGGGATCAAGATCCGGGGGATGTGTCCAGGAAGTGAAGGTCACAATTCCGTCGCTGTCGGCGGTGCCAAGATCTGGAACGAAGTCGAGGACGAAGACGTTGTTCATCAACACTGCCTTTCCGATATAGAGTCCGCCTTTCCCGTGATACAACTTGAACTCCTGGGTGGTGCTGTCTGCTTCGAGATGAATGCCTTTCGCCATCAGCTGACTGACACTCAGTAAGTTGTAGCCGAGTCCCCTCCGCGATTAAGACCTTTGACATCTATAGTATCACGTTTGTTTCTCTTGACTGAAGTTGAACAACTCCTTGCCGTCGTGTGCGCAGGTTTTGATTGTTGGCAACGGTGATGACGACTTCGCGCTGGAGTTGATGTTCGCGTTGAACGAAGCGACCCGAGGAGCACATATGCTGTCCGCAGCAACTGTCCAAGAACCAAGTATCTTTCCCGCATGGCTCGCTCTGGGCGATGGCTGCGTATGTCGGGTTCGGCTCCAGTGTCTCGCGGCGAGGAGTGCCTTCGTCAAGTTGTTCTTCTGGTGAGTAATGCGGTGGTGACTCAGTGATGCAGGAGTCTGACAGTCTTGCCATGCAGCTCACGATGTTTCTTGCTCCTTGCGCAGGTTGCGTTGTTGTCGAGGCTTGAGTTTGAGGAGTGGGTTGCATTTGTGTTGAGGCAACTTGGCTGCTTGAAGGTCGGAGTTGTCGCTGTGGTGTCGTTGACTGTCGCAGACTTGGACAGTGTGTACGGGGGTGTCCAGACGTCTTGCAGAGATGACAGAATGGTGGTACGTGCTGCTGCTGCTGTTGTTTATTCTGTCGGTTGGAGTTGTTGAAGCGCCGTTGGGTGTGGAATGCGAATTCTGGTATTGATGCCTTTTTCTTGTGTCGTTCCTCGTGCAGGTCCATGTCTTGTTGTTCGGCGTGGATTTCGGCGCAGAGTGCCGCTTCGGAGATCTTCCCGTGAGCTCGGAGTATAGCGCGGGTGGAGCGCCAGTGAGGACCAGGACCGGAGATGACGACTGTGACGAAGGCTTCTTCGGAGATCGATCCTCCGCATCGAAGGAGTTTGTCGCGCAGTTCGCGACAACGGCTGATATATGCCATTCCCTTTTCGCCAGGTTTCATTTCCACTGTTGTCAGCCGTGCCATTAGCCGACTCTGATTGACACTGTCTGTTGCTTGATACAGGTTCTTCAAATGGTTGTACGCGAGCTCGGCGGAGTTGCCGTATCCCCGATAAGACCGAATGTTCTGCTGCTGATTTGGAGTTATGTTCCTCAGCATGATCGTGTAAGCCATCATTGATTGATACGTGTACTGCTGCTTGTCGTATTGCGTTCCGTGTGCTGGGTATGGCAGGGACCCGTCGAAGAATCCAAGTATCTGCGCGTCTTCCATCATCAGCTCGAATTCAAATGATCAGGTATAGAAATCCTTTCCGTCGAAAGGTGTTGATGTCTGAAGTTTTAAGACGTGCGCGAACTGCGACTGAACCTGGAGTGCGTCCAATGTCCTTTCTTGTTCAGGTGAAGGCTGTTGACGCGGCACGAAGCTGATGGAGCCACGCTGGGGCTCGTACGGAGCAAAGGTGGGTTGCTGCTGGTTTCCGCGCGCATAGGATGAACAATCAAGGCTCATGGGCGTGACGTCGTTGTTGTTGTTGTTGCTGATGTTTGACTGCGCAGGTGCCGTTTGCTGATGCTGCTCGTAGAAGGACATGAAGGAGAAGAACTTCTCCATCATGGTTGGGTCGAAGCCCGCGACTTGATTTGCGGGAGTTTCAGTAGACCCAGCTGCTGGTCTTGTTGCCGTGCCTTCCTCTGTCTGTAGGCCAGAGGCTGGAGGTGGAGTAGGAGTAGTGCCGGGAGAGCCGTTAGAGGAGCTTCTCTCCTTCTGCGTTGCCATGCCTTCTGATGTTGTAGGTGTCTTGGAAGTAGTTGAGTTTGCCCTGATAGCTCTCATACCATGTTGGGCTGAGAAAAGGCCCTCAGGATCTTTTGCAAGGCTAAACTCAGAGTAGGAATGTTGTAGTTGTGGAAGCGTTTTAATGAAATGTATTGAACCACCTTGCGCTGGTATATGAGGGCAAAGTAGATTAATTAAGACAAGAAGGTACAAGGTTTTCATAAGATTACAAGGAATATGAAAAGATGCAGCCAATAACTGTTTTGCTGTTGCTGTTGCGGTTCGATACAGTGACGACTCGGGCAACTGCTCTATATCGAGTCAGTTGTTTGTCCTTGCTGTCGCGCTGTATTTGTCAAGTCAAAGGTCGCTGACCTTTGACCTTCGCGTAACCTCCAGCGGTTACTTCACTTGTCAACCTCTGATAGTTGACTCGCCGATGCTTCGTTTGTGCTTTGCTTCGTTTACGACTTAGTGTTTCGACACAGCAGAAGCGCTTTAAATCCCTTGTTTCCAGCACGGGTGGTCACCTACTTTGACAAGAATGCTGAAATATGCTGGTTGGGCAGATGAATTAGGCAAGCGCAATTCTGAGCGGGCTTTGGGTTTGTACAAAGTCATGGTTCAGCAGAACTAAGGGCGTCCTTCCATTCCTAGCCATTCAGGTGGATAGAGATCACATGTGCCTCAACAAGAGAAACAAAACTAATAATATTTGAAACTAGTATATTTTAAACATTCTAGCAAATCTCAGAGACTGCATATTTATTTAGCAAGCTCGTATGAACCACCTGTGCTTGGTTGGTCCATGATTATTTCCAAAAAACCATGTACTCCCAACCATGCTGCTAACTCACTTCCTGACAGGCTTGACGGCAATCGCCGACCGAACAGAGTGACCCTTTTCGTCCACCCAAGTGAGGCTCCCATACTGAAAGTTTTCCGAGGTTTTAGTAACCTTGAAGGTTACCACAAAGCTGACCTTCTGGCCCGGCGAGATGGCGAAGCTGCTGGGCTTCACAGTAACATCCACCCCGTTAGGCTTCTGAATCTTGGCAGTGTAAGTAGAGGGAGAGTCAGCGACACAGGTGACAGTGCGTGTGACTGTGATCGAACCCTTGAGGCTGGCAAGTGCGATGGTGGGGCGGTTGAGCTCTCTGGGAGGCACAGAGGTGAGCTTCTCATTCGGGTACTCAGACCGGGTCCTCTGCATGTCCAACCCAGCCAGGAAATTCAGATACGCACTCTTCCGAGCGTCGTATGTGAGCCCGGGGTCGAGAACCTTGGGTGGGAACACATGCCCGTTGCCCATATCCCACGGCGTGGCGGCTTGCCCTGAGGCGGCACTAGAGATGGCAGCGCCGTTGACATCCTTGGTTGTAGCTGTGGTCATGATGGCAGACATGACCTGCGCGGGGCTCCAAGAAGGGTACTTCTGCATCACCAGCGCAGCAATCCCCGCCAGGTGAGGCGTCGCCATGGACGTCCCAGACATCCCTGCCGACCCGCCCTTGTCGCCCACGCGGCTGCCCGGGGCAGCAGCGTAGAGGTCCACTCCCGGGCCGACGATGTCGGGCTTTAAGATTGAGTCGGTGGCCAGGCCGTTGCCGGTGCCCACGTCTGGGAAAATGAGGGGACCCGTGGAGGAGAATTCCGCCACGTTGGGCGCGGAATCGCCCGCTGAGGGCGTGGCGGAGGATGACGTCAGATTGGTGGATGCTGCTGACCTGGATGCGCCTGCTGAGCTGGCGAGAGTGAGGCCGCCCCGGGCGATGGTGCTGAGGGAGGGTTGCAATGGGGTATGGGGCAGGGAGATGCGGGGTCGTTGGAGTTATACAAGGGGGAAGGTTGGTAGGAGTTAGGGAGATGGGGGGGTTGAGGGAGGAAAGTAACGCAAATGTTCCAGACGTGAGTGCTTCCCAGACTTGCATCGTATCGAGTCGAATGTGTGATGATGGAGGTACAGGGAGGTGGTAGCCTCACCTGGCGCCGACTGTGAGGTAGAAGGGCGCATAGTTGTCGAGCGTGCGGGAACTCCCAGGGGGGCCATCGTTGCCCGCCGCAAAGGTCACCACCACCCCCGCCTGGACATTGGGAAGATGGAGATGAAGGAGAGCAGAGGAGAGAAAAGCCGAGCATTGTGATGGGCAGCAGGAGCATTGTGATGGGCAGCAGGAGCATTGTGATGGGCAGCAGGAGCATGCTGGGTTTGCAATCAGGAGAGAGGGCAGCACAGCAATGCGAGGTAGATGTGGGAGAGGTACGAGTCGAGAGGAGAGGGGAGAGAGCGAGGAGCGGAGCAGGCAGGAAGAACGGAAGGGGATTCTCAATGGTGAGAGGGGAATTCTCACCGAGAGAGCAAGTGGTAAGGAGAGAGGGGCGCACCAGGTTGGCGTTGAGGAAGGCGATGTGGTCAAAGTAGGTGGGATGTGAAAAGAGGTCGGGAGAGCCAAGGAGAGAAAACAGGGGATCAGGGAGGGGAGAAGGACTTACCAGGTTGGCGTTGAGGAAGGCGATGTGGTCAAAGTAGGTGGGATGTGAAAAGAGGTCGGGAGAGCCAAGAAGAGAAAACAGGGGATCAGGGAGGGGAGAAGGACTTACCAGGTTGGCGTTGAGGAAGGCGATGTCGTCAAAGTAGGTGTCGGTGGGGTTCACGGCGCCCAGGGAGAGCGAGATCACATCCACGCCGTCCGCCACGCCCTGATTGACGGCTGCGATGATGTCCGCCTCCTCCGCCCACATCCCATTGCTGGACGACCAGAAGACCTTGTACATTACGAGGCGCGCTGCTGGCGCCATGCCGCTCGCCTTGCCGCCCGCCATGGGCACTCCCTTGTTTCCCGCTGCCGCTCTGCGTGTGGTGGGAGGTGGGGGATGCGTGGAAGGCGGGATGGCGGGAGGGGGACCGCATACGAGGGGACGCATGGAGGGGGGTGCATCGGAGATACGAATTGGGGGCATATTGGGGAAAGGATTGCGAAGAGCTAGGACTGGGAGCATGGACAGACATCTGTATCGCACCATACGGACACTGAATGTCAGCAACCAGACTCACCCCGCACACCACGTGCCGTGGCCGTTGGCGTCGCGCGGAGACAGCCAATCCCCGGTGAGGTCCAGCCCGTTGGCGCTTTTATACGCTTTATAAAACGCGCGCCCTCCGATGAGCTTATTGTTACACTTAAAATCCTTCGTCGTGTCGCACTTTCCCGACCACCCCGCGGGCCGCGACGAGGAGAATCCCGCGTCGCTGAACGACGGGTGTTCAGGCCAGATGCCCGTGTCGACGATTGCGACCACCATGCCGTCGCCCGCCTTCGCCTGCCCGCCATTCGCGGGCCAGAGCGACCCGGCGCTGTTCATTCCGAGGAAGGTGGGTGACTCGGTGGTGAAGAGGCGCTTGCGCGCGCTCGGGCGCACGGACGCCACGGCGGGGTGGCGCTTCAGCCGGCGCAGCTGCTCCGCCGTCAGTTCCGCGGAGAAGCCGTTGGACGAATACTTGTAGCTGCGCGGGGGGTGAAGAGGGAAGGGGGAACAGGGTGAGGGAAGGCCGAGAAAGTAGGGGGTTGGGAACTGGGTGCTTGTAGCTGCGCGGGGGGTGGGGAGCGGCGGAAGGGAAGATATTTGAGTTGAACTCAGAAATGCTCCTCCGTGGGCCCAGACAACAGGAAATAAGCCTGAGAGCTGATATTGTGAGTTGGGTTGAAAGCTCCCATGCACATCTGCGGCTAGAAATCAGGAAGCAAACCTGACAGTTGAATCTCATTCCCGCTTCTCCCACTGCAGATTTCAGTTCATGTGGCCGCCAGAAGTCAGTACCAGGATGAACCCCGAATCTCACTCGCGAACGCGTTCATTTCTGACACGGTTCGTTTTTCTGAGTTTCTGACGGATTAGTGGTAGGCAGTGCCAGGTGATTTTGAGTCGACTCTGAAGTCACCTAAATTTTGACAGGATTTAGTGATAGGAAGTGCGTGTCTCACCTGTACGCCATCTTGTCCGACGCCACGCCCACTTCCGACGCGATCTCCGCCTGCTGCGACTCGAGCATCTGCGCGTACGCCTTGACCTGCGGGTTGTTCTTGCTGAGTCGCGCGCGACGCGGCACCCTGCCGCCCGTCGCCGTGACCTCTTCGTCCACCGCCTCCGCCGTCGCCATCAGCCCTGCCGGGCGGGCAGCGCTGTCGTTATTCTCGTCGTCATTGTCGTCTGCCCAGCCGGAGAAGCTGGAGACGGCTCCGCGATACGCGGCGAGGGGGAGCGCGGAGCGGAGGCGCACGATATAGAGACCGCTTCCGCCGTCGCCGCCGCCACCACTGCTGCCGCTACCGCTGTCACCACTGCCGCTCGGCACATTTCTAGGGTGGACATCTGAAGGTGGGGGAAAAGGAGCACCGAGCGAACGCGGTCAGAAGTCGTATGATACTCTCCCATGTTTCATGTGCACATTGCGGTTCAGTACGGTTACCTGCGTCAAGCGGATGCGTCCCGTACTTACGTCGGACAGCGAGGCATTGACACGTGGCAGCGAGGAGCAACAAGGCGAGGAGGAGGCGATGGGTGGTACTCATCGTGCCGTTGATTGTGATTCGCGAAGATCGAATTAGCCGATTGCAAGCTAGGCCAGGACAATGGTGCAAGGCGCAAACTTGAGTAGTACGATATTCGTTAATGTCGCGACTTATCGGCGATTCTAGCGTGAGATGTGGCGCGTCGATATGTAAGCACGCTGGTGCTAGTAAAGTACGTTGAGATGTGAAATGACGAGCGGGTTATTATACCTGGCTTGCGGATGGGGCGCCCCGTGCCGTCTCTCTGCACATCCGCCTCGAAAGACGTCGTGGGTAGGTGCAGGAAGGGGGAGGTATAAAGACTGCTGTAGCTAAGACGTCATGGCGCGTGGGCGCCAGGTTGGTACTGTTGAAGGTGCTTCGAGGGAAAAGGTGGGTGAATTGGGAGGGGGTGTTGGCTGGATCAAGTCGATGGCGAGCAGAATTCGTTCCAACAATTCCACTCCAATAATTGCGATGTCGTCGAGGCGCATGTCGCATGGACAATCTGGAGAGCGCGCCTCGTAACCACAACAACGTCGCCCCTCCAACTTACGTACAAGGCATTTTGTTACGACGTATAAGAAAATATTGCGAATAAACAAATAACGTACCTATGAACGAATATGTTAGATCTGTGAAGGTCTCCACTTGCAACCAGTTTGTTTATTCAACCCAACACTCGAAACGAAACCCCAAAACGTGTCACATGGTAACAAAGCCTTTCAAGTGTTACACAGTTGATTGGCGTTTCCATACATGAGACCCAGGCCTTAACACACCCAATTCAAGCATCAATAATGAACACACGGCCAAGAGTGTCTCCCGCAACTATCCCCTTGCCATCGCATGTCCACCGTAGCTTAATAAATACACTGCCATCTTCCGATGAGTGCTTCTCATTCTCATTTTCGCTACCCTTTTCAGTGTCGTAACACGACACTGCAGTCGTCATTACCACTGGACCTGACCCACCTGCTGTCGAATTCACTGTATTTACTGTAGAATTTACTGTAGAAGACACTGTAGCGACTGGACAGCGGGTGCTGCGCGCCAGGTCCCAGAGCTGGATCTTCCCGGAGCCAACAGAGAGGGCGAAAATGGAGAGGCTTGAGGGGCACCAGCGCACATCGTGACACGTGTCGTTGAATGATTGGAGGGTGAGTAATGGCCTGCTTAGCAGGGAGGTGGTGAGAGGGCAAGGGGGATCGGGAAATGCAAAGAGGAGTGTCAGCAGACATTGTAGCGACTGGGAAACAGGTGCTCTAACAGAGCGCCCTTGATCCTTGCAGAGTGTCACAGCAAGGCAACGCGGCTTGAGGGGCACTACCAGAGCACATTCATGAGGCACAAAGCACAGGGCACAAGGCACAAGGAACAAGGCACAAGGCATAAGATTTTTGGAACCAGGGGAATTGACAGCCATATCCCAAAGAGATCCCACAGCAGCAGCACCACTGCAGTATCCCACAGGGGGTATTGCGCAGACCGATCGATCTGGCTAACCTGTGTGGGATGGCTGAGGACCACAGCTTGACGGTCATATCCCAGGAGGTGGAGAACATGAGATCGCCATGGCATGGCATGGCATGGCATGGCAGCAGCACCATTGCGGCATGGCATGGCAGCAGCACCATTGCGGCATGGCATGGCATCCCTTTGAGAGAAATCAAGACACATTTATCACCGTCTGGCTTACCTATGTGGGACAGCTGAGGACCACAGCTTGACGGTCATATCCCAGGAGCTGGAGAGAATCAAATCACCATGCCATGGCATGGCAGCAGCACCGTTGTGGCATGGCGTGGTGGATTCATGATGGTGAGTCCGTGCACCCATGGGATGGCATGTTGAATTAATGGCATGCCACTCCTCCATGGCATCTCCTCTTCTATATAACGAGTCACCAGAACCACTGCTTCTGCTGCTCCTGCTGCTGCTTGTGCTGCTGCGCGTGCCGCCACTGCCGCTGCTGTGGCTGCTGCAGCTGCTGCTGTGGCACACGGTGGCACGACTGCTGCGGCATTCAGTGCTGCCGAGGGATGTGAGCCAGAGAGGGGGGTCGGAGGAGAGCAGGGCGGCGCACGGGTGGCAGTGCAGGCCGGATATGAAGGCGCTGTGGTGGGGAGCTGAGGGGGGGAGGGAGGGGGTTTCATGGGGGGCACGCATGGGGTTAATCAATGATAGCATGGTGGAGGGCGGCTCACGGGTGGCAGTGCAGGCCGGATATGAAGGCACTGTGATGGAGGGCCGTGGGATTGGAAGGAAGGGGTAGGGAGGGAAAGGGTAGGGAGGGAGGTGTGTGCATGGGGTTAATGGGTGAAGGCAAGGTTGGAGGAGAGCAGGGTGGTGCATGGGTAGCAATGCAGGCCGGATATTAATGCGGCGCTGTGATGGGGGGCTTTGGGATGGGAAGGAGGGGTGTAGGGAGGGCAAGAGGGGTGCGCATGGGGTGAACGGTCGAATGCAAGGTGGGAGGAGGCGAGGAGGGCGGTGCATGGGAGGTGGGGAGGGCGGTGCATGGGAGGAGGGGAGGGCCGTGCATGGGAGGAGGGGAGGGCCGTGCATGGGAGGAGGGGAGGGCCGTGCATGGGAGGAGGGGAGGGCCGTGCATGGGAGGAGGGGAGGGCGGTGCATGGGAGGAGGGGAGGGCGGTGCATGGGAGGAGGGGAGGGCCGTGCATGGGAGGAGGGGAGGGCCGTGCATGGGAGGAGGGGAGGGCCGTGCATGGGAGGAGGGGAGGGCCGTGCATGGGGGGCAGCGGAGGAAAAATATGAAGAACGCTGTGACGTCATGGGGAAGGGCTGAATGGTTAAGGAAAAGTTCCAAGGGCAAGCACTTTATTCCTCCAAGGGTATTTGCACTTGGGGGAGCATGCGAGCTTCAATGCAAGCTGGAGACGAGGGTGCTGTGATGAGACAAGGATGAGGGAGACAGGGATGAGGGAGACAAGGATGAGGGAGACAGGGATGAGGGAGACAAGGATGAGGGAGACAGGGATGAGGGAGACAAGGATGAGGGAGACAGGGATGAGGGAGACAAGGATGAGGGAGACAGGGATGAGGGAGACAAGGATGAGGGAGACAGGGATGAGGGAGACAAGGATGAGGGAGACAGGGATGAGGGAGACAAGGATGAGGGAGACAGGGATGAGGGAGACAGGGATGAGGGAGACAGGGATGAGGGAGACAGGGATGAGGGAGACAAGGATGAGGGAGACAAGGGGAGGATGAGAGAAGGCAGAGAAACACGAAAATGAGGAGGATACTGGGTTATGGCGCTGCAAGGGGGATATGATGGCAGTGCATGGGATTAGAGTAACGGACAAAGTTTTGGGTTTAAGGACTCGGTTTGGGTTTGGGATTTAGGAGATCGGGTTGCGTTAGGGTTAGGGAATCGGTTTGAGTGTTGCTGGTTACAGTGGCTGCGGAACTGGGAGCTGATACGGTTACAGTGTTACAAAGGCCTCTGCTTACCTGGCTCTGGTTCTTGCTTTGCAGGCAACCCTGATTGGCTGGGAGCCGCATACCCGTAACCGGAAGCAGATGCTGACACAGCAGATGACGTGGCAGCTGAGGTGGCAGGGGCGCCGGGCGCACAGGAGCCAAACTGGATGTCGAGTCGTGATTGGCTGGCGGATGAGGAGGAGGATGAGAATGAGGGGGTAGAAGCAGAGGCGGTGAGGGCGGAGGGAGAGAGATGTCCCTGGAACACACCACCACAGTCAGAGCCCATGTAAAACACTCCAGGTGAAATCCCAGGTGAAAATCCAGGTGCTCCACCAGGTGCTTCTTCAGGTGCATTTCCTGGTGCTCCCCGCCACACCGGTGTTGTCCCCATCTGCAGCTCCGAGGGCACCAGGGGCCACTGCGTCAGCATGCGCCAGCTGTCAGGTGAAACGCCAGGTGGTGTGAGGGGGATGACCTCCAAGGGCTGTTGGACGGGGCGTGGGTGAAGAAACGAGACGAGTAGATGGGAGGTGACGGGTAAAGAGGGGAGGAGACGGAAAAGGAGAGTAGGGGAAGAGAGTGGGGCGGAGAGGAGGGAGAGAAGGGAAAGGAGATGGAGTGAGAGAAGACTTGCAAGTACCCATCCCGCCTCGAATCACACCAGCCCACTCCCCTTGGAGTCGCGAGCGCACTCACCATGCCCATCATTCGCACTCACCATGCCCATCATTCGCACTCACCATGCCCATCATTCGCGCTCACCATGCCCATCATTCGCGCTCACCATGCCCATCATTCGCACTCACCATGCCCATCATTCGCACTCACCATGCCCATCATTCGCCTGCTCCATCTCATCAGCCTCCCCCCCGCACTGCCACTCAACACCTCCTCCCCGCCCCTCTCCCCCGCTCCTCCTGCCCCCACACCATCCCCTCCCCCTCCGCCCCCGCCTGCTTCTCCTCTTGACCCCCCTCCCCCTGCCGCCAATGACGTCACTCTCCTGCCATCCGCCGCTCTCCACGCCGCCTTTTCCGGTCCCACCTGGCACGGGTCTCCTCCCACCCGCAAATCCCAGACTGCCACGTGTCCATTCCGAGTCCCCCCCAGTAGCAGATTCGGGTCGTCGGGTACCCAAAGAATTGGACTTACTCGAGATCCTCTAAACGAGAGCAATTCTAAGGGGGATAACGGCCGCTCTCTCGTCCACACGGCCACACATCCGTTATCGTCACGATCGTCACTGTCACTATATAGGGTAACGCCACTTCGAACGCCTGAACTGACGGAAAGTCTACTCGACTGGGTGGAATCCTGGGCATTGACGACGTTCAGACGAGATCCGTCAATCGACGGAGGCGGCGGACGGGCCGACGGAATGTGAACGGAAGACGTGTTGACGGTGTCGTAACTGACGGCCACAAGGAGAGAATCTGACGGATGGGCGTCTAGCGAGACGACCGCTGGAGCTGACGGGGCGGACTTGGGCGGTTGAAGCACGGATTCAGTCGTTAGTTTTCTCGTCATTCCTGATTATTCGAACGCAGGAGACGTCAAGTCTTTGTCGATCTAGACAATTCTCAACCAGACAACGAACTGCGCGACCGGCTGCAGACGGCCAGCCAGACACGACTGTCAGGTCGAGAAGAGGAAACAGCATAAACAAAATCAAAGCAGCTTGGGATATCGCATGGCGAAGCTTCTGATCCGCGATTAATTGAACAATTCACAGAAGAGATCGCTCACGTACAGTCGCATCGCCAAGCCTTGTCAGTTTACATTACGGTACATGAGTCCTTACCGTCTAGATCGACTCGGGGAAGCCACTGATGCTGAGTGAACCAGTTAGGACGTGGACAATCGGAATCTTCGATCGCCTCTCGGGATCGATTTTGTAGATGGTTCTAGGGTTACCACGTCCATAAGTGAAATTGTAGAGGAAGCTACAGAAGGATTGGCGTCTAGACTTTGAAGGGTTCCAGTGTGGTGTGGAATCGATCGTGCTGAGATCTATGCGATGAAACGATTGTGATGCACAATGACGAGCATGTCGCACAACGTCATGTCGCCCAAATCTCGACGGCGAGACATTGGCGAATACCAGATGTTGTTGCACGAATTCACTTTTTTTGCAGTGTCAGGATGTCTAACGAATCGCAAATATTTCGCAAGTGACCAAGTTGTTTTGTAACATCGTTATATCGACGATTCGATTACCCCAACGGTCGCTCGCATCGCAAACCTAACCACCCCACACCACGCCACGCTCACTAAACCATGTGCAAACAAACTGCAACTGCCTACCCCAGACTCTGCAACTCTCATACGCCCATATGCCACGCTTCTGAGTGATCACGATTCCCACCCACCAGTACAATAGCGACTTGTACGAATACGGCGACATTTTATCACTGGAGTTCCGACCACTATTTTTAGTACCACACGGCCCCGATTCTGGCTAGATGGACGCTCAATCTGACGGGCCGCATCGCGCGGAGAGGCAGAATCTGCTGCCGCGACGGGCGGACGAGAAGCTTGACGCGAGGCAGAAAGGCATGACGCGGCGGGGGATGATCGCCGCCGTTTCGTACATGATATGCGCAGGTAGTTAGGGTTACGCTGCTGGTCATTCGAGCAATTTCGGATTGTTTCAGTAATTTGGAAAGATCGGGTACTTCGAATAATTTGATTAATTCTGATAATTATGTTTTTTTTTTATTCGAATAATTCATAAAATTCGAGTAGTTTGGATAATTCGGGTGTTTCGAATAAGAGGGGGGTATGTCAAACACTAGGTTAATCATGTCCAGCGATCCGTGTGTGACTGTCACGACAAAAGCGACTGTGTATCACACCCCCTTCCCGTTCCCCTTCTCCTTCCTCCTTTCTCCTTTCTCCTTTGCCTATGCGCTCAGTTCATCCCCTCCCTACAGTCACACTCCTTACGTTCAATACCCTGCTCTTTCCGCCATCAATTGCTGAGCGGATCTGTGTCTACCATACTCACTGTGGCTACCAAACTCCTTTCCATTTTCTCCGTTCTCCTTTGCCTATATGCTCATCTCGTTCCCTCCATACAGTCACGCTCGTTATGTTCAACAAGGCCGCCCTTTCCTCCTTCAACTTCCCTTGCGCCAACGTCATCACTCTGCTTCAGGTGACGTCATCACCCTTGTTACATGGCGTCACCTCTCTCTCCTCTATGTGACGTCATCACCACCCTCCAGGTGACGTCATCACTCGGTCAAGGTATCCCTCGTCCTCTTCCTCTCCCCTCGCTTCAGCCCATCACGGGCAGACGGTTGAGTGAAGCTCTTGCATTTCCCCACCTCATTCCGATCTGCATTCTTCTTCTCCCTCCCTCCCCCCCCCCACCCCCCCCCCCCCACCCCACCCCACCCCACCCCTCCAGATGCTCTCCTCTACGGCCCTGTTAGCCATTCTCCGCCTAGCAGACGTTCTCACCTTTGCGGATGGCTCTGCTGCTGACGTGGCTCTTGGCAAAGGCAGCAGCAGCATAGGGAGTAGCAGCATCAACCGTTGCAGCGTTAGCAGCAGCGATGGGTGCAGCATTGACTCTCCTCCACCT